TAGGCCATAAACCCTGCCCTAGGAAACGGTGGTCCCCAAAATCGACCCCTCTTTCGGTCTCCTTCTAGCGATTGCTATGGGCCCGACCAAAAAACGCGCTCCGACGATTATTTCGCTCTATTGCAGAGACCGAATCAGCCATTTTTCTGGCTGCGTATCCCGGTAACTGACCATTACCATCTCATGTCAGTTTGCCGTCCGTCAAAAACACTTTGTCCCACATCTTTACAAATTTTTCTGTTAAAGAGGACCTTGGACGTGACTGAGGCTTACCCCAGCCGTCGAACTTCCTTACAGAATGGCGCCCGAGCAGGGACATGGGGTTTACGAACTTTAGACGTCGAAAATATGGCCTAAAGACCCATTCGGATACGTCAAGTTTGAAAAATTTTCGGTTCCGCCACTTAGAGAAAATTTTCTAAGTCGGAACGTATGGAGAGTCGGATGTCGAGGGACACCAAAAATTTCTAGGGCAGAAAACTACGTGAATATATATATATATATCGACAAGAATATATACCGGGCATTTTATATAACCTCAAAATCGGAAAAAAAAAAAAAAAACTTAAAATTTTTTTTTTTTTCAAAACACATGGCAAAAATCGGGAGAACTTAACCAAAAAAGTATACCCACTCTAAGAAACTCGTGGCACACGCAGTGAAAATTTTATATTCCAGCCGTGAAAAGATCATAACCTAAAACGAGAGGTTAGTTGATCACGTGACCAGAAACACACGTGGGCCAAGAAATAGAATCGAGCAAAGAAAGCAAAGAGGGAAAGGAAAAAAAAGGAGAGAGAGAGCGAGAGCGAAAAGCCCTCTAGGTAGCCAAGTCAGGTCGCGAGAATTTCGAAAGCACGAGGCAGGGAAAAGCTAACCCAAATTCCCCACAGCGCAGCCATTTTGTTTTCACCCTTCACTCTCATCGTCGTCTCTCTCACACCAGCGGCGATCGAATACAGCCTGCAGATACGCATCGGAGGGCTCTTCTCTTTTCAACCGCCGTCGAGTCAACACGTACAGTCGCAGTTTTCAACGGAAGTAAAAGCCATCGTCGTACCAATTTTACTAAGTCGCGATCACCGTCGAATAAAATTTACAGCATCGTGGAATAAAACTTTGCATCATCGTCGAATTAAATTTACATCGCCGTCGCCTAATTTGACTCATCGTCGTGGAAATTCTACAAGCTTGCATCGTCGTCGAATAAATTTAATCCCCGTCGAGGAGAGCAGCAACATTAAATCGTCGTTTTACATCAAATTCGAGTTTAACCTAGTTGCACGTGGGCATTTGGTGATTTTTTTTGTGCGAAAAATAAAAACCAAATAGTTCACTGAAGTTTAATCAACTCAACCGTCGCTTGACCCTCGTCTGAAATATTTCTCTCGACCTTTCGAAATTTTTCCTGTCGTTTGCCAGTCGATTAAATTTTTCACAGCAATATGGGCGCACGCTGGATCGCGTATCTGCGGAAGCGGGAATTGGAGGCGATTTTGAAGGAGTTTTCCTTGGAAGCAACCGGAACCGTGGAGGAAATGCGAAGCCGGCTGGCTGCCTTCAACAATCAAGATGATCACGTGCTGGAAGTCATCGAACGACTACAGGAATGTGAGGCGGAAATCAACGCCACGCTAGCGGATAGGAAACAACGATCGCCGAGTCCACAACCACACCCACCGGGTCCCGCGCAACTGCAAGTACCAGTACTGGAGGGCAGAGCTACCGCCGACGTGGCCAGAGACGTGGAGACCCTCCCGGCCAGGCGTGAGACTCTTCCAAAGAAGGCGGAGATGTCGGCAGCGACACTGTCGGAGAAACTCAGGAACTGGGGAATAACTTTCGATGGCACCACGGATCCCATCACCTTCATCCAGCATCTCGAGGAACGAGCAACGGCCTACGAAGTCGACGTGGAGAAGATGCCGCAGGCCATCCCTGGCCTTTTGACGGACACGGCCGAGCACTGGTTCCGGACGAGCCAGCTGCTAGGAGAATCCTGGACGAAGTTCAAAAAGGCGTTTTTGGATTTCTTCTTGCCGCCGAGGTATTTCCAGCGACTCGAGGATGAGATCCGCACTAGGGATCAGCGTCGAGGGGAGACGTTCAAGCAATATCTCGTCAACATCAAACTGTTGATGCACCGAGCGGGATACAGCGCGGAACAAGAGCTGGAGCGCATCTACGAGAACCTCCAACCGGAGTACCAGATGTACGCCAGGAGGCACGACTTTACCACATTGGAGCAACTCACCAGTTTGGCGGTCAATTTCGAGGTCACTCGGGACCGGAGCACTGGAAGCCATGCCAGGATGGTAGCTGAGCCACAACCCGCGCCAAGGAGGAGCGGATACGAGCCGCCAGCAGTTCAACAAAATTTCTCGCGAACAGTCGGGCGACCACCCATCCCAGCTACGACCCCACAGGGTCCTCGAGTAGGGAATCTGTCAACGATCACAAATTTCAGGTTTGCGTGTAGGAATTGTGCTCAAGAGGGCCACCAGCAGGCAACGTGCCGCAATCCCAGAGTCCTCTTCTGTTGGGATTGTGGGCGTCGGGGAATAAGCACAGTCGAGTGTTGCAAACGCACACAGCCGGGAAACGAGAGGAGTCTTCGCCCACTCGGGGAGCGGACGGAGACTGCCTTCAGGAATCCCCGGAATTAGGAGAGATATTACAGGTGCAGGATGGTCGGATCATCGCGCAGGTGCAGATCGAGGGGCAGAAGTTCAGCGCGACTATAGACACCGGAGCTAGCAGGAGCTTTGTGAGTGAACGAGTGGTCCAACTCGTAGGGACAACACATAACGTACGGTCGGTACGCACTCACGTCAGCCTGGCTGAAGGCTCCCGCAAGGAGATCACAACGTCTCTAGTCGCCAAAGTCCAGTTGGACCAACGTAGGGTGACTTTTCCTCTACTAGTTCTGCCGTCGATCATGGAAGACGTGCTCTTAGGCATGGACTTCCTCTGTGGCGTATCTGCCAGTATCCAATGTGGCCGCGCATCACTGCAGCTGAGCCCTTTCGTGTTAACTAGCCCCACCTACAACTTAGCTACGCCGTCGGTTTTGACAAACGCGTTCACTCCGAAAGCAGCAGACCCCATCGAAGCCGTAGAAGCCACACCAGCCAGCAACGAACCAGATCAGGAGACCCAAGATGCCCCGACCAGCAGCGTCTTAGGGCCTCGTGATGACAACGCCGTGCGAAACAATCCGTTTCGACGAAGACAAGCCACCAGGCCAGTGGAGCCGGCAGTGGAACCCGTAGCGGAAAGGCGAGCACCTTCACCAGCCATCCCGGAGCCTAGATCTGACGCTGGAGGAGCACTAGCTGTCATCACCGAACATACAGAGCACGCAGACTTGGAGCCATGGGTGAACCAGTTTCTACAGGAGGAATTGGCTAAATTCGACGGATTGACAGGAGTGTCGAATATCGCGGAACACACGATCACGATGCGGGATGACAAGCCCATCAAACAGAGATACTTTCCGAAGAATCCCGCGATGCAGAGGATTATTGATGAGCAGATCGACGAGCTGCTGCGCAACGACTGTATAGAGCCCTCACGGAGTCCCCACAGCGCCCCGATCGTACTCGTGGGCAAGAAGTCCGGAGAGATGCGACTTTGCGTGGATTTTCGCCAATTAAATGCTCACTCCATTCCAGATGCATACCCGCTGCCAAGGATAACACACATCTTGGAACGCCTGCGCCATGCCAAATATATATCGACGCTCGATCTGAAGAGCGGATATTGGCAAATTCCTGTAGCCGAGTCTAGTCGCGAATGCACTGCCTTTACAGTCCCCGGGAGGGGCCTGTACCACTGGAAAGTGATGCCGTTTGGCCTCCACTCAGCACCAGCCACATTCCAGCGGGCGCTCGACAGCGTCATAGGACCGGACATGGAGCCCAACGCGTTTGCGTACTTAGATGATATCATCATCATCGGACGCACCCTGGAAGAGCATGTACAGCATCTACAGGAAGTATTCCGGAGGCTACGGAAGGCGAACCTTCGCCTCAACGCAAAGAAGTGCAGCTTCTTTAAGCGCAGCCTGGTATACTTGGGACATGTTATCAGCGAGGAGGGAATTCACACCGACCCTGAGAAGATCTCAGCAGTACGGCAACTGAGTCCACCGACCACGTGCAAGGAGCTTAGGAGGTGTTTGGGTATCGCGTCTTGGTATCGGCGATTCGTACCAAACTTTGCTAGCGTCGTGCAGCCCATGTCTCTACTGCTCAAGAAGGGCAAGAAGTGGCAATGGGAGAAGGAGCAGCAGGATGCGTTCGATGACCTGAAGAGTAAACTGACGGAGGCACCGGTTCTTGCCTGCCCGGATTTCAACGAGAAGTTCGTGTTACAAACGGACGCCAGCGACATCGGCCTCGGAGCAGTGTTAACCCAGACAATCCAAGGGGAAGAACGAGTCATCGCATTTGCCAGCAGACGCCTCATCGCTGCGGAGGAGAACTATTCCGCCACGGAAAAGGAGTGTCTGGCTATCATATGGGCCATCCGGAAGCTCAGATGTTACTTGGAAGGATATCGATTTGAGGTGATAACCGATCATCTCGCTCTGAAGTGGCTCAACTCGATTGAGAATCCCACCGGCCGCGTAGCGCGCTGGGCGCTAGAGCTCCAGCAGTATCAGTTCGATGTCACCTATAGACGCGGGAGCCAGAACGTCGTCGCTGACGCACTTTCTCGACAGCCTTTAGAAGTACTACAGATGATCCAGGAGGATAAGCCGGAGAGTACATGGTACCAGCGGATGGTGAAGCTTGTACAGGACAGACCTGAGGATTACCCGGACTATGTATATGAGAACCAGCAGCTGTATAGACACATCGGATCTCGACCCGACGACGAAGACTCCGTGCCATGGAAACTGTGTGTGGCCAAGGAACACCGACAGCGAGTACTGGCGGAATGTCATGACCAGCCCACGGCAGGACACCTCGGAATCAGGAAGACAACCGCCCGGATCGCCCAGAGATACTACTGGCCGGGCCTCTTTCGCGATATTTCCAGGTACGTTCGCAAGTGCGACACTTGTCAGCGATTCAAAGTTAGTCAAGCCAAGCCAGCGGGTAAAATGTTTACCAGGCAGGTGAGTGAGCCATTCGATACTGTCTGCGCCGATTTTATTGGGCCTCTTCCGCGATCAAAAGGTGGAAATACAATGTTGCTCGTATTTTTCGACGCGTTCTCGAAGTGGGTCGAGCTGGTCCCACTTAGAAAAGCCACCTCAGCACATCTCGAAAAATCCTTTAGGGAGAGGATTTTAAATCACTTCGGAGTTCCTCGCACTTTTGTCTGTGACAATGGGACACAGTTTACGAGTCGCTCATTTAAATCCTTTTGTAAACAGGCAGGGATGGAGATCCAGTACACAGCGCCATATACCCCGCAGCAGAACCCGACAGAGAGGGCCAATCGAACCATTAAAACAATGGTCGCCCAGTATATCGAGGACAAGCAGACGACTTGGGACGAACTCCTGCCCGAGTTGAACCTGGCGATAAATAGCAGCGTCTCCGACTCCACCGGATTTAGTCCGGCGTTCATCGTTCAAGGCCGAGAGCCACGACTCCCAGGAGCCTTGTATGATGAAGTGACTCCAGGACCAAGCCAAGCGCCACATTCACCAGAAGCAAAGGCGGAATTGCTGCGGGATATTTTCAAGGTGGTTCGAGAGAACACTCAACGGGCGTCGTTGGAACAGCGCAAGCATTATGATCTCAGACGACGATCATGGAGGCCAACCATAGGATCACTGGTCTTTGTAAAGCAGCATCATTTGTCTAAGGCGGCGGATAACTTTGCCGCCAAGCTCGCTCCCAAATATGAAGGCCCTTACAAAGTAATCAAATTTTTCTCTCCCACCATAGTGCGCTTGCAGCATCTTCACAGCCGGCAACGTCGAACAGCAGCCCTTGGGGACTTGAAGGAAGCAGTCAACGAGCCAGAAACACAGAATCTGGTACCCAGCCGACTGGACCACGTAGAAGACACACAGATTTCGGAGCAAGTTTAGCGATCGAGGAGCGCTAAACCCCTGAGCAGCGGAGCAGCAGCAGCAGAGACGCAGAAGACAAGGATACCCGCAGACGGCGGGAGAACACACGGCGATAGCCACGCAGCAGCAGTCGCGGAAGTCCGTATGAAGACGGCAAAACAGCAACCAACTTGCTCCAAAGAAGCTGACGAGTCACGCTCGATCCGGCCGAGGCAAGAGCCACCTAGGAACACTGATACAGGAGCCAACAATTGAGTCAGTGGGGCCACTTGCTGGAGGGTGCGCCTTCCCAACGTCCCACTTTCCCTAGTGGAAACTCAACGCTCCCAGTGCCAGCACAGCGAATCTTTGCCCTTATTACTAACTTTCCTTAAAACCTTAGTTAGTAATCATCACAGCCGCGAGCTAATAAACCTTTGTTTTTCTCCCTCTACAGAGACAATGGCATCGAACCAGCCTGGCCGTTTGTGGCGCGCAGCGACATCAGCCGCGGCCACCGTGGAAGTCCCCCGCCCGGATGACGTGGTGCTGGGATATCCAGCCGAGGGATTCCTGCCCAAGGACATCGATTGGGAGGCCTTCAGCGAGGCGATGGAGCACGCTGACGAGATTTTAGCGGGCCGTAGACCACTGCCCGATCTCCAGCGCGCAGTTAGCCACGCCGGCGCAGCCGCGGCGGTGCCCAACAGGGTGCCAGTCGCACGTCGCCGGGTGGTGTTCGCGTCGGCCGTGGGGACCTCGAGGTCGGCGACACCCGAGGAGAACCGCCACGGTCGACCGGACGGGACCAGCGACAACAACGACGTAGTCGCCACAGGCCCTAGCAGCAAGGGCAGCCACGGGAGCGCAGCCGACGCCGACGGCAGCCAGGAGGACGACGACGTGGGCCCCACCTACGAGAGACACCGGCGGGCCAGCAGCATGTCGGACTTCGACCCGGCCGACGTTGCCCGACGCACCATTTTCTCCGCGTCCGGGGTGATATGCGGCCTGAAGCCAAAGCCGAAACCCAAGCGCAGCGCGAGCGAGCTGCCCCCGATCCCTGGTTTGTGCAGTACGATAAGGACTGTCTCGCTAAGGCCCACCGAGAGCGAGCTGAACAACGCAACCGCCCTACACCGGTGCCGAGCAAGGGTCCGCCTGCCACCCCCGCAGCCGAGGAGAAGGAGGAGTATCCCACTGCCGATGAGGACTGGGTCCTGCCGCCACGACATTGGCGTATCCGGATCCCGGGAGGACGGATCCCACGCTCTGTGGTCGAGCGCGTCCAACCACAGGAGGCAGCGAACAGGCGAGTGAGCAGGAAATTCCTGTACTACGCGGGCCCAGTGGAATTCAGGGTCCATTTCAGCAAGGGGAACGTGGTCACCATCTCTCAGCGCACCCCGAAGTAAGGGGAGGATGTGAGGAGTCGTCTGACTCCCCACCAATACTGGCGGCGGCACCAACATCAGCCTTAACACCGGCCACCCGCGCCAGCAGCCGACGGCAACAACATCAGCCAGAACCACGGCCACGTCATCAACAGCGACGGCAGAAAACAGCGGCCAGCGGCCTCAACACCGGCCCGAGCAGCGGCCACAACAACAGCGCGCTCTCGCCGTCAACAACAACGACGGCCGCCACGTCACCAACGTCGACGTCATCGACAAAACGGCCACAACACCGGCCGTCGACGTCATCAACGCCGGCCACAACAAAACGGCCAGAACAGCGGCCAACAGCAGCGGCAATGGCAACGGCCAGCGCGACCAGCGAAAACAATACTTCGCGCCCGTAACCAGCAAAAACAACCGCAGCTACGTCATCAACAGCGGCAGCGCGTATCAACAGCTCACCAAGCCAACAACAACGGCGATCAGGAGCCGGCAGCGACAACAACAACAGCCGACGGCAAAACAACCGCCGCCAACGCTCATGGAGAGCCACCGCAGCGAGCAGCGAAAAACAACAAAAACAAACCGGCAAACGCCCAATTACTCTCTTTGTCAATATTTAAATAATCTCTTGTAAAATACTTTATTCACTTCTCCTTTTGTAACCTTAAGCTTTGTATAAATAATTCATTGTAGATATAATCATTTTCGTATACATTCTTTATAAAATGGGCAACGTATACTTTAATAGAATAATATAGTCATTTATAAGCTGTACAAAAGTTAAGCATAGAAAAGAGTTTGTAGTTATCTTTGGTTCCCCGTTCTCACATCTCTAGACCCCGCACACACACACACACACATCTACACGCGGAGAGCAGAGAGAGCTATTCACCACGAATAAGTGGCCACGGAGTTAGCGCCGTATGAGAGCAACAGAGAGCGAGCATACGATCGAGCGCAAAACAACCCCCCGAAATTTGGCACGCGCCAACAGGAGAGAGCGAGAGGGAAGCTGATGCACCGCAATGCAATGAGCAACGGAAAGTTACCGGCGCGGCCAAAAATTTGGCAAAGCCGCGTGGTCTGATTTACTTTTGCGGAGGCGACGAAATCGAAGAGACGTGCGAGCGGACGACGGAGTTCTTTTCACAGCGAAGCCAAAACGGGAGTGTGTTTTCAAGCGACGGAGTTATATTTTTTCTTGCGACCAACGAGTGCGGAAAAGTGCCTATTGACAGTGACAATTTATACCGAGTGCCCCAACGATCGTGAGGCAGCTAGTGACGTGCAGCGGAGTTTGATTTTTCTCGACGGCCAAGGAGGCAAATTCTTTTGGAAGCGGACGGCGAGGACGTGGCGGAAGCAGCAGCCACCGGCAGGCACGTGTGTGTGTGCGGAAAAACGGAGACGGGTGAGTGTATAGGAGGATCGCATTTTGGCCAGCGGGTACCGGTGTAAATAGAAATTTCTCGATGGCCAGGATGCGGTTTTCGCTAGAGTAGGCTAGAAATAATGCCCCGACATCTAACCTTATTTTTTTTGTTAAAAATCCCTGCAAACTTTATTATTCAAATAAAACCCAATGAAAACTGAAAAATAAACATTTTGAAGAAAATACAACTCAAGTAAAAAAATAAAATAAATAATGAAACTGAAAACTAATTAAACATAAACTCGGATGTATTTATAATTTTTCTTTGGTGCTTGCGGGGGATGGCCTACACTGGGAGAAATTTCCCCTCCAAACTTTTATAATGAGACCTAAGTAAATTTTATTCAAAATATATTCCTGCTCTCGCGGATTATCTAACCGCGGCCCACACTGAGAAAATAAACGCGGATAAATTTAAAATGAGGAGAAATTAAATAAATTCAAGAAAGCTCTCATAAATATAAATTTTCTTCTTTGGTGCTCGCGGGAAAGGCTGAGTTTCGCCTACACTGGGAGAAATTTTACTCCGAAATTTAATAATGAGATATAAGAAAAATCTTATTTAATATATATATTTTTGTGCTCTCGCGGAGGAGTTAATCACTGATCGTCACTTCCGAGAGGCCGTATGCTGTCCTCAGTGGGGAAAAATAAAAAAAATGCAGAGAAATTTAAAATTGAGAAAAATTTAAATAAATTCCAGAAAAGCTTTCGCAAGTAAAATCTTCGACTCCGATCGAGTCCAGCTCGCGAGGGAACGACCCCCGGTCACGCTGGCCACGAATTACGTAGAATATTTGCCCAAAATGCCTAGATCTTAGGCCATAAACCCTGCCCTAGGAAACGGTGGTCCCCAAAATCGACCCCTCTTTCGGTCTCCTTCTAGCGATTGCTATGGGCCCGACCAAAAACGCGCTCCGACGATTATTTCGCTCTATTGCAGAGACCGAATCAGCCATTTTTCTGGCTGCGTATCCCGGTAACTGACCATTACCATCTCATGTCAGTTTGCCGTCCGTCAAAAACACTTTGTCCCACATCTTTACAAATTTTTCTGTTAAAGAGGACCTTGGACGTGACTGAGGCTTACCCCAGCCGTCGAACTTCCTTACAACACTTAGAGATTATTTAGAGCTATATTTGAAGACAGACGTTTTGTTGCTGACAGATGTCTTTCAGAATTTTAGGGCTATCTGTAAAGGTATCTACGAACTCGATCCTGCCCATTATTATACAACTCCGGGCTTCTCATGGGATGCGATGTTGAAGACTACCAAAATATCCCTCGAGTTAATATCGGATATAGACATGATTTCATTTATTCAAAGTGGAATTCGGGGGGTTTAGTTCAAAGTAGTCATCGATATACAAAAGCGAACCACAAATACCTCAAAGATTTCGATCCAACTAAGGAATCGGAATATTTGATGTATGTGGATGCAAACAATTTATATGGATGGGCAATGTCTGAACCACTCCCCTATGGCGATTTTAAATGGATGGAACCTTCAGAAATAGAATCATTTAATATTAATTCTATTTCTGAAAGTAGTGAGTATGGATACATTCTAGAGGTCGACTTGAAGTACCCATATGCACTTCACGACCAACACAATGACCTGCCTTTCTGTCCCGCAAATAGACGTCCTTCAAAAAAATCCAAGACTGCAAAGTTAATAGCGGATCTTTGCGATAAAAATAAATACATTATGCACTACAGAACTTTGCAGCAATGCTTACTAAATGGATTGAAACTTGAAAAGATTCACAATATCCTTCGATTCAAGCAAAAACCCTGGCTTAAAGAATATATTGACATTAACACTGCACACAGGACTAGGGCTAAAAGTAACTTCGAAAAAGACTTGTATAAGCTTTTAAACAACAGCGTCTATGGTAAAACGATGGAAAACAGCTTAAAGCGCAAAGATATTCGGATAGTGACAGAATGGGAAGCTCCACCTGTGGGTCCAAAAGGTGGGCGTCCGAGATTATGTGCTAGGGACCTAATAGCTAAATCAAATTTTCACAGTGCAACTAAGTTTAGTGAAAACATGTACGCAATTCAAATGAATAGGTTGCGTAACGTTTGTGATAAGCCAACATATCTAGGTTTTGTAGTGTTGGAGTTATCCAAATGGAAAATGTACGATTTTCACTACTCTTATATGAAACCAAAATTTCAAGATGCACTGAAATTAAACTATATGGATACAGATTCATTTATCTATTCCATAAAGACAGAGGATTTATATAAGGACATTCGAGATGATATTCAATTAAAATTTGATACATCTGAATACCCTGATGAATTGGCTAGGCAATATGGTTTTCCGCAGTGTAACAAG